AGTGCAGAAAAAGTTGGAACAGGTCGTTGTAATGGGAGCATTCTTTTTTCTTTTTTATCAGTAAATCAATTAATTTAAAGATAAGATCACATATATTATATATATTTGTACGTATTTGAACTTCATAGAAATGTGAATGCTTCTCAAATAAGAAATAAGCAATAAGAATATATAAAAGCTTCGGCCAGAGCTTTTTATTCTCAGAAAGTAGAGCTCTGACCTCTGAGTGGTGCTGGTGAACACACCACCAAGTTAAATCGATGCTTCCAATTAATATTGCATGTTTGTTAAACGGATCAATGCTTGATAAAAGCTCTTATTTCTGTTGTTGTCAAATTGCTAAAAGCGCTTATTAGAAGCCTGTAGAACAATGGAATCGGATAAGGTTTGGTTTAACTAGAAGCATTCCCACTATTAATTTACAAATATTCCAACAAGGACGAGATCTTTTCTGATGTTGATATATTTGTATGCAATTTCAGAAAAGATCTCTTGTTCTTGTTAGAATATTTGTAAAGGGGTGTTGATATATATATATATATATATATGGCTTAAATGTCATAATGGTCCCTGTGTTTTACCTTATCGGCCAATTTAGTCCCCGTGTTATTAATTTGGCCAATTTAATCTTTGTGTTTGTATCTGTTAACAAATTTGATCCTTTCCGTCAAAATTATGTTAAAACCTAAAAAAAGACATTTAAAATTAATTTAAAAATCTTTAATTAATTATAAAGATTTAAACTCAAATAATAATAATGCTACAATGATTAAAACGCACACAACCTCAACCTACAATAGTCTCGATTCCTGTAGGAAAAAAAAAGGTTCTTAGTCGAATTGATGCCTACTTTTTTCTTGCTGCAATTTTTCTTCTCTCTTATGTTTTAGATTTTCTCATACTAGCCCTTCATCTCTCTCTCCTCTTCGATCTATTGGCCTGAATGTCGTAGACTTTTGCTACAGCGAGGATGATCAATTGACAGTAGAGCCATCAAGGTTACGATGAGCGACTATGAAGATCTTCGTGATTTGTCAGAGAGGAAGCCGAGAGAGAGAGAGAGAGTTGTTGTGGTTTAGGTGGGGTTGGAATTGTTTCTTTCATAGCACATTTTTCAGTTGACCCTGGTAAGCTAGTCGATCGAACGAGAAAAGAAAGCCTATAAGCTCCAAACCCATTCCAACCCCCACGACATGTCGTTATCTTTTCTAGGCAACTTACTTGCCAATTTCGCAAGAAAACTGAAAAAAACCTTGTCAGTTTACAAGCAGCAGCTGGTGTGAGTTGGGTAAACTAAACACAACAAGTTTTGATAAATGTCGTGTAATTAAGGGTAAATTATACTTTTAATGCAGTCAATGAACATCTCATTCTAAGCAAGGCATGTGAGTCGTGACGAAGACTGGTCCGAGAGAAAAATAAAAAACTTGACAGAGATGGGAGTCGTGGGCAACAAAACAAGCCAAATTAGTCAAAGTCGTCGTTTGATTGATTGCCTTTTCTTCTATTGTGATTGCTAAACCACCTAATCGAAACTTCTGCACAAGGTGAGCCTAACAATTCAACGGACAGATGCATTGACAAGTCTTATTCCGCACCTAATCAAAGGAAATGCTAAATTACATTAAAAAAATTTAACAAATGTAAGTTTCCATGTATGCATCTTCAGGCTATCGAGGATATACTTCTGTGATCATTGAAACCTCATCTTCTGGTGCTTTACCAGCAGAGTTGCTCTTGGATCGATCTGACCCGGCTGTCAACCCTGAATTGTTCGTCCATCCCGAAGAAGACATGTCAGATCCAACCCTACTATGCCTGAAAAATGCTGGTTGTGAGGGTACTGGAAGAGTGACAGAGTAACTATTTAGCATTAGAACAATAGATGCCATGGTTGGCCTATCAGCTATATTTTCTTGCACGCATAATAACCCAATGTGGATGCATCTCATTATTTCAGCTCTTGAACCAGTCCTCAATCTCGGATCTATTACATTTGAAGCTGTCCCTTCCCTCCAAGTTTTCCATGCCTGCAACCATTGATTTGTAAAAATAATAGAGTTAGACATAAATTCTTTTCTTGGTTCCATTCAATTCAATTGCAAACGCACATAAACTACTAGATATATATGTACACATCTACTTACATAGCTTAGCAAATCCTCCACATTCTCTCCACGGCGAAAGCAATTATTTTTCTGCCCACTTACTATCTCCAAAACTAACACACCAAAACTATAGACATCTGATTTAACAGAAAAGTGTCCATGCATTGCATATTCTGGAGCCATATATCCACTGCATATCAATAAAAATGTCCATATTATCATTAACATGAACGAAAATTTTGGATTAGTGATATAGCAAACCATCACAATTAGTTAATAATAAGCTATATGTAGCCTAGTCAAGTACTTACTATGTCCCCACAATTCGACTGGTATTGCCTTGTGTTTGATCAAGCACAAATAACTTTGCCATGCCAAAATCTGATATTTTGGGGTTCATTTCTGCATCTACCAAGATATTACTAGCCTTGAGATCACGATGGATGATTCTAAGTCGAGAATCTTCATGAAGATAAATGATCCCACGGGTAATGCCTACTATGATTTTGTAGCGGCTATCCCAATCCAGTTGTGTGCACTTGATTGGGTCTGCATATTCATGAAAAAGATCTTTAATGTTTGTTGGATGTCACACCAGTGAAAAGAAAGAATGAAAGATCATTGAAGCACATATATACCAAATATGATGTGGTCGAGACTGGAATTAGGAACAAACTCATAAATAAGAAGCCTTTCAATTCCTTCCAAGCAGAACCCCAAGAGCCTAACTAAATTTCGGTGTTGGAGCCTGGCCACCAGCAAGACCTCATTTTTAAACTCCAAATCTCCTTGTCCAGAATTTGTAGAAAGTCTTTTCACAGCAATATCTTCTCCATTAAATAGCCTACCCTGAAAGAATATATGAACAAATGAGTTGTATTCAAGGAAGCTAAACTTATTGTTACTTGGCATGTAATTGATACATATAATGATGTATTATTACCTTGTAAACAGAACCAAATCCGCCTTGTCCTAGTTTATTGGCTTCAGAAAAGTCATCTGTGGCAACTCTAATGGTATCAAAATCGAATTGCAACGACTCTGCACTTCTAATTTCGTCTGCATCTTCGCCTGCTGAAAATTCAACAAAAATTGATTAAGTTCAAGGTTTATAGTGAAGGAGTAGTTGTAACTCGTAACATAATTAAATCGATCTGCTACCTGGAAGTATTGGAAGCTTCTTCTTCGTCGTCCGCACTCTTACCCAAATGCCGATGGATATAATTAGTACCAAACAAACAACGATTGGCACGACAATAATGATGACAGTCCGAGATGTGTTACTCTTCGATCCTACAAATTAAAACAAAAAATATAATACTTGTGGATTATATATTAAGCGATCTATAACCAACATATAGGTACCTCCTGAAACTGTGGTAATATTGGTTGATGGTGGAGGAGGAGATAATATTGGCGGTGGGGCCGGCGGCGATGGCAGTTGCAGAATCGTTGTAGGCTCAATGAAGCGGTAAACCTCAAATCTGAAGTTACAGCTGGGTCCAACAACTCTTCCTCCTACTTTTTCAAGGCAACATTGGGGGATATCTCCAAAAGCACCAACCAAGCAGTCACTGCAGGCTTGCTCTGATATTTCTGGCGTGCACTGCGCAATAGCAAATATTGTTTGGAAAGTTGGAGCGGTTGCGTTCCCGTACGCAAACTTGCGAAGAGAACCGCCTGCTGCAGCTTCGCTTCTTAAGCTCTCCAGTAACTTCCTCAGCTCTTGGTTGAACCCGTCCACACCCGACGAAGATACATTTTGTGGGTTGCGCATGTAGAAAGAAGGCATAGTTTCCATGACTCCGTACATGGAGCTGTTGGAGTAGCGCAACATACAATTGTCGTACCAACCAATGGCTTCCTTCTGATTTGGACAAAGCTGCGTGAGAGCATATCTGGAGTTGTTGAGGCAACTGCGGCAATCCTCCGCCTTGACATCTCCTCTGCAGAGTCCAATTGCGTAAACTTGGTCGTCTGAGTTCTGGCCATACGAGGAATTGTAAAAGCCATAGCCGTTACCGTTTTCATTAGAGGGCAGGGAGGGGAGAAGGGTGTTGAGGTTTTTGTGATAGGTACTATTGGTGGTGTAGTTTCCACTGTTGTTTATGCAGAAGTGGTACAGAAAAGCAGGCTGAGCAAAGGCTTGAGTGATCATGATTAGTAACAGAATAGCATAAATCAGGAAGAATAGAAATCTTGCGGAAACCATTGCTGGCATGGCGTAATTGGTCTCTGCAGAATGCTGGTATATATATTTGTAGTTTTTACATCTCTCTAGACTCCAGCTAGTTCATTAAGGAAGCTTCATGTTTGAGAATTTTTTTTATGGGTTGATCAAAGCCCTATCGAGACTTGGTTCTAATTTGACCACCAGTGTGGGGTTTCAAACACGGTTGTAATTAATCATTAAGATATGTGCTGATAAAGACGGGACTGGTCGGTGGTTTGATTTTTGATTATCTCGAAGTATATTGAACTCATCTACTATACTTTCTTTAACATTTTTAATTAATTCCACGCTTACTGATTGTGGCTTCTTAGTTAATTACCACCTGCTTGGAAGACTGAGTACAATTAGAATTTAGAAGTGATATTAGACTTGGTAAATTACTACATTTTTTAGAAGAAAGTTGAATCAAAGGAATGCAAAATTACATTATAATTAATTTCATAGATGTTTCCATGCATCTTCAGGCACTATCTGTAGAAAATAAGATAGGATTGAGAGGAAGACTAGATTGAAGAAAGACCCCGTTAGAGTTTGTTCTGTATTCATCACAAATTTATAATTACAAGAGTTGACTTTGTACAAAGCTAATAACAGTAAGTAAATATCTCTAGAATAAATACAGTGGTCTACATATAGGAAAGAATATGAGATTGCTTCTGTCAAGAGCAATCTCCCTTGATAGATGAAGAAATATCTGGTGATGGCAGAATTATAGGAGAAGACTTCGTGGTGTTTTCTTTGTTCAGGAGACTTCTCTCTTCACTATCGACGAGGAACAATGAAACCTCATCTTCTGGTGCTGTAAAAAGTGAGTTGGTCTTGGATCGATCCGACCCGGTTGTGACGCACACGTTAGATCCATCACTAGTATGCATAAAGAAAGCTGGTTGTGAGGGTACTAGAAGGGTGAGAGAATAACTATTAAGCATTAGGACAATAGAAGCCATGGTTGGCCTATCAGCTATATTTTCCTGCACACATAATAACCCAATATGGAGGCATCTCATTATTTCACTTCTTGAACCAGTCCTCAATGTTGGATCTATTAGATTTGAAGCTGTCCCTTCCCTCCAACTTTTCCATGCCTGCAACAACGGTTTATTTGTCAATTTGTAGACATATAATCAGAGATATATAAATTCTTTTCTTGATTGCGTTCAGTTGTAGTAATACACCAAACTACTATATATATTCCTTTTTACTTTCATAGCTTAGAAGATGTTCCACATCCTCTCCCTGACGAAAGCAACTATTTTTCTGTCCAATTACTATCTCCAAAACTAAGACACCAAAACTATAGACATCTAATTTAATAGATAAATGTCCATACATCACATACTCTGGAGTCATATATCCACTGCATAAATATTAATAACAAGAAGGTTAATTTTATTAATAATAGTAACATGGACAGAAATTTTGGATTATTGATATAGATTAATGTACGCAATTATCATATATATTGTAAAGACGACGGTTTTTAAAGAAAATCGTCGTTGTTTAGAGGTAAAGATCGTTAATTATAGGATGAAAGACGACGGTTTTGTATTGTATGTAAAGATGACGGTTTTTTATGAAAACTGTCATCTTTACATACAATAGACGACCCTTTTTAAAAAAATACAGTCATCTTTACTTCACAATAGACGACCCTTTTTAAAAAAAACCGTCATCTTTACATATAATAGATGACCATTTTTTAAAAAAACCGTCATCTTTACATATAATAGACGACCCTTTTTAAAAAAAACGTCATCTTTACCTATAATAGACGACCCTTTTTATAAAAACCGTCGTTAATTATCTGTAAAGATCATGATTTATTATAAAAACCGTCGTCTAATAAGTTCCCAAATTGCTACATTTTAGTTCTTTTTGATTTCCTATGAGGCTATACAACGATTTTAACTAGAAAACCAACCATAATGCTTTATTAATGAATATATACACTCAAAAATAGTTTCTTTCATAAAACTTGAAGAT